CCTTAGAACTAGATTACACATCCCACAGTGATATTACAAGTTTTCACTGTACAGTACTGGGTGAAACCATTGATACATAGAGAGCCACTTTATAAGGACAGTTTGTCAGGTTCTCTTTAAATTTGCTTTAAAAAAACAATGTTTTATTTGCAGACAAATTCGTGTGGACATCAGAACTGTAAGCAAGAACAAAGATACTTGTATATATTTACTTGATCATCTAAAATACTAGGCAGATGCATAAATACCTTGAAATAATTCTACCCATCTTTCTTACGTGAGCCTTTGGGACCACTTTACTATAAAATAATAAGTGACATTTTCAGTTGAAAGGGGAAGAATAAAATATCAATATCTTTTAGAGCAGGGGTTTTCAACCTTTTTAAACAAGTGTATCCCTTCTCTCAAATTTCCAGCTCAGGTATCCCTCTATATTTTTTTCTTGTGTTTAAGGGTGGGGAATTGAGGCCCCTGCAGCGAGCGAGGGAGTGGGGCTGCGGCTGCATAGATGGGGCAGAGTGTGGGATGGAGCTACAAGCGCCTTGTCTAGGGGGCATGGGGAGGGGGTTGCAGCTTCCACCAGTGCACGCACCCCGGGACAGCATAGGGGTGTGTGCCCATGGATTTGTGTGTGGGGCAAGGGCAGTCTGGCCCAGCGGTGGGGAGAAGGAGTGGGGCTGGGGCAGGGGCTGCCCAGCTGGGGTGAGACATAGGACTGACGTGTGTAGGGGGGGGCGGCTCCCGCTGCTATGCACACCCCCGGGAGGGAATGGGGGTGTGTGCCCCTGGATCTGTGAGGGGGAGGATGGGTTGCCAGTGCCGGGCTGTTCCTGGCGGAGGCTGAGCCATGCTGTGCTTGGGGTATGCAGCGGTGGTGCTGGGAGGGGGCTACAGTGAATTTTGGAGTGGCTGCAGGCCCCTGTATTCTCTTCCCTGCATTGCCACCACCCACCCTGAGTGCAGCCCAGCCCCAGCCATGAAGAGTCCAGCCGGCAGCCCTGGCCCCAGCCCACAGTGGCATCCCACCTTGCCCCACAGTGGGGTGTCTACCCCCGGATCTCTTGGGGTTCATGCAGTGGTGGGAGCTGCCCCTGGACACCCAGTCTGGGACCCTGCCATGGCTGGGCAGCCCCTGCCCCTGCCCCAACCCCACTCCCTCCCCCACCTCTGGGGCCTTGATCCGCCCCCTTCGTCCTGCCCTGGCCCCTTCCCTCACAAGTACTTACCAGCCAGACCCAGCTGCTCTCCTGGCTGCCTGCATGCTGTGCTGCAGTTGTGCGCATACATGCAGCATTAATCTGCCACATTAGGTCTAAGTACTCACTAGGACCTTTTTAAGTACCCCTAGGGGTGCGCGTACCCCCAGTTGACAAACCACTGTTTTAGAGTAAGAAATTTCTAATGAATGTTACTACTAAATCCACTTTAAGCCAGAACTGTGTCCTTTTCCTGTGTACCAAGAACATGTAGAAGGTAGTAAAAATAAAGTCTGGGTAAACTGTTAATGAAAAAGTTTACCATTAGTTGTAGTAAATAAGGACTCTTCAATGGCCTGTGTTCAGAACTCAGGAATCTGTGACCCACAAAGAGGAGTAAATGTAGTAGTAGTTTAAGTTGTATAGGTGTAACTATCAATGGAAGGTAATGTGCACACTTTAATATGATGGTGTATGCAGTAGATATAATTTACTGATATAGATCTATATTATTCTGGGATCAAATTCAGCAACTGAGATAAGTACATCCAGCTTCTACTCAAGTAATTGGGAGCAGTCTGTTTTCACAACATTAGAATCAGCCCACATAACAGTCGAGGCAGTAGGATGCAAATCACATGTCTGGAGTGGGGCAAGGAGAGCAGTATTTCAGATTTACTGTCACTCTCTCTGAATATTTTTGCTACTGTACCCCCTACTTCAGGCTGTGTTAATACAAAAAGGCTGAGACTAGTTTGTCATGCATACTAATGCGTAATGTAAACCTCCTAGTATGTCAATTATTGAATTTTGCCCAGGAACTGTGTTTTTTAAAAAAAATTTGCAATATAAGCAAATTAGTTGAGCGCAGCATTTATATGAATTTTTAAAATATAGGACTCTTGCATTATTTTATTTATGGACAGTTTCACCATAAAGTGTCTGGTATGTTAAAGACATCTTGCATAATATTCAAACCTGATTACTTGCATGTAATTGTACCTTCTAAATCTGATACAATCTTAAATCTGGATTTTTATGTCCATATACAAAAAGTATAATCCACTTAGTGTTATAAATGAACTAGTTCTGAGCTGGGTTTGCATTCCCAAGTAGAAATGTTTTTTAACTAGAATATATATATTGGACCACCCAGATTTTGGTCTCTTCATGTAGAGATGAAAAATAGTGCCAAGCAATTTATAGATGGTTTTATTGAATCACTAACCTCTACTACTTAGATTTCTACCATTATTAGCATGTTCACAATAATCCTGGCAATAGTTACATAAGAGCAGTTACTGTGTGTACCTAGAAAAGGGTTCATCATAGTTCAGCACTGAAAGCTAGTCAAATGATGGCCAAAGACAATAGCTAGTTAAAACTAGTGTGTCCTCGTAGTGAAGAACGGCATACTGCATTAGTAGAAGTGTTGCCGGCAGTGAGGGAAGTGGCTCTTCCCCTTTTCAGCACTGGTGAGGCTACATCTGGAGTACTGTGTCCAGTTTTGGGCTCCTCAGTACAGAAAGGATATGGCTAAACTGGAGAGCCCAGTGGAGGGCAAGCAAAATGGTTAGGGGACTTGGGGCATATGATTTACAAGGAGAGACTGAGGGAGCTTGGCTTGTTAATCTGGAGAAGACTGAGAGGAGATCTAATAGCAGCCTTCAACTCCCTGAAGGGGGTTTGAAAGAGGATGGAGGTAGACTGTTCTCAGTGGTGGCAGATGAGAACAAGGAGCAATGGTCTCAAGTTGCAGCAAGGGAAGTTTAGGTTGCATATTAGGAAAACCTTCTCACCAGGAGGGTAGTAAAACAAGTGAAACAAGCTACCCAGAGAGGTGATGGAAGCTCTATCCTTGGAGGCTCTTAAGACCCAGCTGGACAAAGCCTTTGGCTGGGATGGTCTAGTTGGGGATGGGCCTGCTTTGAGCAGGGCTGGATTAGATGTGACCTCCTGAGGTCCCTTCCAACCCTCACTTTCAATGACTTATTTCATAGAATTATATAACAACAGTGGCCAGCTGAGGGCCCTGCTGCAACGAAAGCTGGCTAGAAACCTGCTCTTGAGTTGTTCCAGCTTTTCAAGCACTCCCTTCGTAGAGGGTTGGGCTGGACAGTCATTTTTTCCGTTGTGATGATCATTTGCAGGTGTGGCTGCTCGAAATTTATTGTGGGACTGCCCCGAGAATGGCACAATGTCCGCAGCGTGTAGCGGGGGCCAGAAAAACTCCCCAGAACGTGATTTTTTTAAAAAAAATTTGTAAGCAAGGACGGGCTGCACCGCGAGGACGTGGCGGGAGAGGGTTGGGCTGGACAGTCATTTTTTCCGTTGTGATGATCATTTGCAGGTGTGGCTGCTCGAAATTTATTGTGGGACTGCCCCGAGAATGGCACAATGTCCGCAGCGTGTAGCGGGGGCCAGAAAAACTCCCCAGAACGTGATTTTTTTAAAAAAAATTTGTAAGCAAGGACGGGCTGCACCGCGAGGACGTGGCGGGAGCTGGGTGCCTCCGGGGCGCGCGGCCCGCCGGTCGCCATGGC